TTTCAGTCGTGCGTGCCCCGACGTTTGGGCGACCTTTCTAGCGCAACGCCAAACGCCCGCTGCTGAACGTCCGACCGTGTTGGTAGACGACCCTATGTCGCCCAGCACCGGACCCGCGACCCCCGCGTCCGTAGAAACGCTTTATGACGTAGGATCCCCCGCGCCTTCTGCGCTCTCCACTCGGGGGCCGTCCCCGGCGTTCTCGGACGCCGAGACGGGCTCCGAAATGGAGTTCGACGTCGCGAAACCCGCCATGCCCGATGACGAAGGCTTCACCGTAGTCTCGGGCAAAAAACGTAAACGTCCCGCCGCGAAAAAGGGCGCCGAGCCTCACTCGGCCCCTTCGTCCCCGTCGTCGTCACCTAACGCCACTCCGGCTAAAAAGACCGCGCCTTCAGCGCGCCCTAAAATCGCCAAAATCGCGAACTCTGAACCCGCCGCGGTGCGCAAGGAAAAACCGCCGCCCCCGATCATCCTTCAGGATAAATCCCGATGGAGCAACCTTTCGCATTGGATCGACTCCAAAAAAATCTTCTGCCCAAAGGTCCACAATGGTGGCCAGGGCATACGCATCCACGTCTCAACGACTGATGACTTCCGCGCTTTAACTGCGCATCTTAAAGCTCAGAAACTGAGCTTCCATACTTACGCCCTTGCGGAAGAACGCAACCTCCGCGTAGTCGTTCGCGGGCTCCCTAAGGAGCTCGAAACCGAGCACATTTTAAGCGATCTTAAATCGCAGAATCTCCCGGTTAGGGAAGTGCACAGAATGCACCACCCCACCGACAAAAAAAGATACCTAGACCTTTGTCTAGTTATCTTAGACCTGTCCCCGGAAGGGAAAGAAATTTACAATATTCGCCGAATCTGTAATCTCACTGGGATTACGGTAGAGGCCCCCCGTAATAGGGGCATCGTTGGTCAATGCCACCGATGCCAACTGTATGGCCACTCGGCCAAAAATTGCTATGCGAAACCTAGATGCGTTAAGTGTCTAGGTGACCACGGCACACCCGAGTGCACCCGAACGCCCGAGTCGGAAGGCCCTCCGAGCTGCGTTCTGTACGGCGAAGCGGGACACCCAGCGAACTATCGCGGGTGTACCAAAGCGCCGCGTAGAAAGTGGCGCGGAGGCGCAAACCGGCGCGGACGAGCGGCTAGCGCTAGTAGGTCCCGTCCTAGGCAACATGCCCCATCATTAGCACCGATCTCGGTGTCTCAACCCGCGCCCCCTCAGCCTCACACCAAACCCGCCCCCGCTAAAGGGTCTTCCGGGCAAGGTGTAAGCTCATCGGTGCCTTCAGCACCCGCGTCGAACGCATGGGTTAAGCCCCCGGCGATTGTTAGCGCGGCCGCCTCACGGCCAGCGCCCTCTCTCCAGGCTCAAAAGCCCAAACTTGCCCCTCAGGCATCTTCTACCTTCGCTGCTGACTTCTCGTTAGTCTGCAGCTTCTTCAACAATATTAATGTTGCCGAAGTGTCTTCCCTGGCCCGTAAACTACGCGAGGCCAAATCCGCTCAAGATAAGCTCAATGCCACCATTGAGCATATCAATCTCATCGACGCGATCGGTTCATTCCAATGCGCCTAAATAATAATCTCTCTAAAACAAAATGGCAGTACAACATACAGGCAGAACCAAACCTAGCTCACTGACTGTCGCGTTCTTTAACGCAAACGGCATCAGAGATCAAAAGGAAGAAATCGTGTACTTTTTACGCGATCATGATGTCGACATCATGCTAGTGCAGGAGACCTTCTTGAAACCTAGCGTGCGCGATCCCAAAATAGCTAATTATACCTTAGTAAGAAATGATAGGCTGACCGGACCTAAAGGCGGCACCTTGATCTACTACAAAAGGTCCTTGCACTGTATACCGTTAGACACTCCACCGCTTGCTAACTTAGAAGCATCGGTATGTAGAATAGCACTTACGGGCCATCCGCCCGTCATAATTGCCTCGGCATATCAGCCACCGCAAAAACCCTTATTAGAAGCCGACATCTCGGCACTACTAAATCTAGGCCCCAGCGTAGTAATCGCGGGTGACCTAAACAGTAAGCACGTTAGTTGGAACTCTAACCTAAACAATCCAAACGGAAACATATTATGCGGCCTCACGGAGAGACTTAACTTCGACGTTATCGCTCCTGAGAGCCCAACTCACTACCCATTTATAACTAGTCACCAACCGGACGTCCTTGACGTAGCTATTTTAAAAGACATCCGGCTTAACATTAACTCGATCGAAACTTTCATCGAACTATGCTCGGACCATAGGCCGATCGTATTAGAACTGGGCCGGTCGGCTGGTGAGGTCCCTCAGACCAAAACCATCGTCGACTGGCGTAAGCTCAAGGTCAAACTTGAGTCTACGAACTCCCAGCATTTAGACTCAATACCGGACAAGATAGACTCGCCGGAGGAAGCCAATAGGGCGATTAGCGCCCTATCGACTCACCTCACATCAGCGGTCGAAGAGTGCTCCCGTAAGGTTCGTGTGTCGAGCGATCGGTACACAAAGCTTCCGGCAGACGTTCGACGGCTGATTAGAGCGAAAAACTCCGCGCTAAAAGCATATGACCGTTATCGCACGGCAGATAACAAAATCCGGCTACGTTCTCTGCAAAACGAGATTAAACAACGCGTTGTAGAATTTAGAAATGATAAATGGGATAACCTCTTAGAGGGATTAGAACCATCTCAAGATGCCTTTTGGAGGCTGACTAAAGCCATAAAAGCAGAGCAAATTGCTCCCATGCCGCCTCTCGTGAGGCTCGACCACCCCGATCTCGCCTTAGACGATCTCGAAAAAGCCGAATGCCTAGCCGACAGTCTAGAGAGCCAGTGTACCCCATCCAGCGTACCAACAGATCCCGCTCACCTGCTAGAGGTAGAAGCGGAAATCGAACGTAGGGCTGCGTTTCCGCCAGCGGGCGATCCACTCGATCCCGTGACTTTCGAAGAAGTCACTAAGACCATAAAAAGCCTTAAGATTAGATCAGCCCCTAGGCCAGACGGCATCAGTAACAAGGTGATCAAATCTCTTCCGGCACCGTTAATTTACCTCCTCGTAGGAATTTTCAACGCGCTTCTCTCGAGCTGCTCTTTCCCGGATATCTGGAAAGAAGCAGACGTAATAGGAATCCATAAACCGGGCAAACCGCGTAACCGACCCACCAGTTACAGGCCTATCAGCCTACTCAACACCTTAGGTAAATTATATGAGCACACTATCCTCAAGCGCCTCCGTCACTTCACGGAAACTAACAGACTCCTCCCTGACGAACAGTTTGGATTTAGAGCCAAACATTCATGTACTAACCAAATTCATCGCCTAACAGAATATATTCTGTCTGGCTTCAATCATCATCCGACAAGGAGAAAATCTCGAGGCACGGGAGCCCTCTTCTTTGATGTCGCAAAGGCTTTTGATAAGGTCTGGCACGACGGCTTGCTCTACAAGCTGTATAAACTAAACGTGCCGGACAGGCTCGTACACATCATCCGAGCCTTCCTTTCAAATCGCTCTTTTCGCTATCGAGTGGAGGGAACCCGTTCTTCGAAACGCTTTCCTAAGGCCGGTGTCCCACAAGGCTCCGCCCTGTCTCCAATTCTGTTTACACTTTTTACGAGTGACATCCCTAAAGATCCAGCGGTCAACACCGCTCTCTTCGCCGACGATACGGCTCTCTTTGTATCAGAGTACAATAGGAATATTCTCACTTTAAAACTCCAAAAAGCTGCCAATCGCTTAGGCGAATGGTTCCGCCAATGGAGAATTGAAGTGAATCCCGAAAAAAGTGTAGCAATATACTTTCAACTAGTCTTCTTCTCGTCTTCTTCTTCTCTACTGTCAACTTCCAAAACAGTCCGGTAATGGACCAAGAAAACGTATGAAGGTAATTACCTTATACGGCCGCCCCATCCCATGGGAATCCTCGGCCAAATATCTGGGCGTTACGTTTGACGCCAACATGAGTTTCGCGAAACACATTAGTATTGTTCGCAACAAAGCCAAGTCAGTTATTGGCCGTCTCCATCCTCTTGTGAACAGCAAGAGTAAGCTGTCTCTAAGGCACAAACTCCATTTGTACAAATCCTGCGTTAGACCTATCATGTCTTACGCAAGTGTAGCCTTTGCACACACATATAAGTCCCACCTAAATGAACTACAGAAAGTTCAAAACCATTTCATCCGTAAAGCCACCGGTGCACGGTGGTATCAACGGAACTCTGATTTACACAGCGATTGTCAACTCCCCTGTATCTCCGAATACTTTAAGGAGATGTCCCAGCGCTACTTTGACAGCGCCGAAGCTCATCCGAACTCCCTAGTGGTAAACGCAGCCAACTACGTCCCGATACCGAACGTCGCGCCGTTTCTCCGTAGACCGCGTAATGTATTAATAGAGCAACCGCGCTCGCTCGATCCCGTCGACCCAAACGTCGCAGGCACATCACACACTGACACTACACCCACACCAATTGGGACAAACACTAATAGGACAACGGAAGGGGCGCGTCGCACCCGTAGGCGGGCACGACGCGTTCCAACACACACCGCGTACACACCGTACACCCGCGTGCCTGGGCGGTTCTCACCGCCCAGAACATCGACCGATACGAGCTAAGCAGTCAGAGGCAGGGGTTCGCATTCCCCCCCTCGGACTGCGGTTAGATAGCTCAAAATAAACCTCTACGGAGGGGACATGATGATTGGTAACAATACCAAATCACAAACCATCATCATCCTCATCCTTATCCCAGCTACCGCCTTTCCACTTTTAAATAGCTCGCGGCCTTTCAGGCCGCGAGCCCTGCGTCCGATGAAGCTGTAAGAACCGCATAGGTTAACAGCGTTAACATCACAGAAAATAGTTAAAAAAATTAGTTTATATCGGTGTTGACGTCGTCTATATAGAGACGAGTGTTTAATTTTCTACATATCTAGAATTTTATTATTACGTATTAACGACAATGTCTGGACGTGGTAAAGGCGGTAAAGTGAAGGGAAAGGCAAAGTCCCGTTCGAATCGTGCCGGTCTACAATTCCCCGTTGGACGTATTCACAGGCTGCTGCGAAAGGGAAATTATGCAGAGCGTGTGGGTGCCGGCGCTCCGGTGTACCTGGCCGCAGTCATGGAGTACCTCGTCGCTGAAGTTCTAGAGTTGGCCGGTAACGCTGCTCGGGACAATAAGAAGACCAGAATCATACCGAGACATCTTCAGCTTGCCATCCGCAACGATGAAGAGTTGAACAAGCTCCTCTCCGGTGTGACGATCGCCCAGGGCGGTGTACTACCCAACATTCAGGCGGTCCTTCTTCCCAAGAAGACCGAGAAGAAGGCCTAAACGAGTGTGTACACTACTCCCGTCGCATTACTACACCACACCACTAGGCCCAAGAAAATGGTTGAGAACATTAGACGAGAGTATGCGTCGACGTTTTATCGATCGGTAATGCCCTAATTGTACTATATACGTATTGCATATTCTGTTTTACGCTCCTTAGTATAATAATGGTGCATTCGCCGTCCGTCGACTCGCGTGTCTCTACTGCTCTATTGCTATCTACCGTTCGTGGTGGTACGTGATTAAAAGGCCCTTTTGAGGGCCACAAATACTATCGATAATTTATAAATTTAGTCTCTTAGAATGCGAACGTTCTTTAAAGCCTCTTTCCTCAGTTCCTCCTATCCTATCCTATACCTTATTCCTTTTTGTACGCTATTACTTTATATTGGTAATGGTAACGATAAGACTAGAGCCATATTTATTATGAATTAATAATATAATCAATAGACTAAAAGGTAAAAAAAATAATTTTTTTTTTTTTTTTTTGAAGAGAAACATATATTAATACTTACCGTTCAACATATTATGTAGTAAAAATCTCTTATGAACTTCACCGTTGCCGTTGGCTTTAGATGGATTAGAGGATTGCCTCGCCGCGATAAATGGACTCAATGTATTATGTTAATTATAAATTTAAATGCATTATTAAAACATTATCAGTAGTTAATTTTATTATTATAAAATATTCGATAATGATTTATTTTATTAAATTAATTAAAATAATTGGGTATTAGTATAATTATATATTACTTATATTGGAATGTTTAATAAAATAAAAATTGCGTTCTTTCTAAACTAATCTTCCGTCCGTATTCCCCTACTCTCTACCCTGCCCCTTCCATTTGTCCGGGCAAACTGGTCGTTGATTGGTTGATCTACACTCGATACGCTCGTTAGACCACTAGCTAGTAGAGTCACCGTGATAGTCGTTATATAAGAAAAAAAAAATGTTCAGTGATAGATTCCACCTGTGGCTCCGCTCTCGAGCGGGTGTACCAGGTAGTCCGCGTGCGCTCCGTTAGCGCCCCCCCAGTTTCGCGCCCCGCGCGCCTCTCAGTGTTGGCGCTATAAGCGCTGAAGTCGGGTGAGTGTCTCATCGCTAACTCTCAGCTCTTACCCCCCCGCCTTCAGGTCGGGGAGGTCTGACTGAACGCTTTTTATATTGTAGTACACTAGTACTGTATATGTTAGTAGTTTATTATAATTATATGTGTAGTATATATAACGTGTATATTGTCATATTGTTTCTTGACTTAGCCCCCGTCCTTTTGAGGACGAGGGAGAGTTTCAGAATAAGAACGTCCCGCACTTTCAGTGCGGTGATCCCCCACGCCCTACTAGTAGTTTTAAATAGTTTATTTTTATTTTATTTTTTTATTTTTTAGTTAATTAATTAATCAACATGTCCACGAAGGACTTAAAATCATCACTTTGGGACGCCATCACTAAGGTGGAAGATTCGCAGGCGCTTTCCGCCGCCCTAGCCCTTCTGACTGGTACCGCCCGTAAGGCAACCATCCCGCCGCCGGTGTTAGCGGACTACTTAGAGTCCCAGAACTCGTTCGCCGCGCTTGAAATTGATATGGAGTGCTCTCACTCCGAGTCCGACGCCGCGTCGTCAGTATCCGCCTCTCGGAAGAGGCCCGCGAGAAAATCCGGCACCAGGTCATCGGAGTCAGACTCGGATGACACCGGTGCATCACTAGAATCCTATATCACGGTATCGTCAAAGCGCGCGGCGAAGCGCGCCGCTAAAAACCGTTCGCCAACCGCCGCAGCGGCCCGTGCCGCTCCCGCCTCCCCCGCAGCCTCCGTCGCTGCCTCAGTCCCTGCAGCCCGAGCTGCCGCGTTAGATAGCTCAGCGCCAACAAAACCGGCCACGCGTTGTGCGCCACAATTAGCTAAGAAACAAGCCCCGCCCCCTGTCTTCTTAAGAGATAAGGCTGAATTTACCCGGCTCAGTAAGATATGTGTGCACGACGCAACAATATTAAACAAACGAAAGAAAATGCTTATTGTAACCGGCGCTAGTTGAACAACCTAGGAGCGGTGGGCGGAGCCATGACGACGGTGTAATTATCAGGCCACGCCTCTGGTTCGACAACTAGCAAGGGTTATACGGCGGAACTAGCGCAACCTTATGTTGAATTTAAATTATAATTTGTGTAAATAATTGTATTACTTGTATCGAACGATAAAAAATAATGATTGTATTATAACTAAGTTTAAGGTTGAGTTGTAACTGTGCAATAACTCTCCCAAATAAAGGCACCGTATGAACAGGGAGAGTTAGCATAGTCTTCTAATGAAAACTGTAATTGTTAAATATAATAAATGTTTACTTTATTATATAATAAATATATTAGGCCGTTAGGCACATAAAATAATAGTAGTAGTGTAACCAAAGAGCATGTTATCCTGACGCGGCCGCGGAGCAAATGAAGCCACGCGCACCGCGCCACGACGTTTTATATTTATAGTGCTGAGGCGGGGGGAAGGATTATCCGCCTAAAGCAGCTGAAAATTATAATGTAAACCTGTAAATAAGTAAGAATATTGATATGTACACCCTAGTCTAACAAGTAGTTATAAGAATATTATATAGTGAATTATGTTTATTAGTTTGTAAGGTTATTAAATAAATAAAGATAGGCGCGGGGGTGAGGCAAGGGTCCGCTGGCCAGCAGCGGCCAAATCATATAAAAGACGGGCCGGCCGCTAGGGTCAGCAGTCGCTCTCCAGCCACCGAAAAGGCACCAGCAAGAAAAGAAAAAGTACAAGTTCCTCCTCACCGCCGCTTGCCTCCAGTTAAAAGCAAGACCAGCGCGTTTTATTCCATTTTTCGCACGGCATTACGGCGATCCGTAATATTAATGGTCCTTCGAGAAGCCGGATTACTAGAAGAAAAAGACAATATCGGTCTTGGTATTGCCGGAAGAAAGAAGCAAACCGCAAGAACGAAAAAATATTATTGTGAAGAAAAATGGTGATTACGCGTAGTAACAACGGAGAATCATCGAAGCGTCGCAAGGATGAACAAACAACCCAGGGGGCCACAGAAGAGGCCTCCGGGGGCGACTCAGCCGCTAGTGGTTCAACAAACACCACTAGCGAAACCACAACGGTCAGCGATACGACCGCTACCTCTGCAACCGATAGAACAACCGCAACGGAAGAAACCCAGCAAGAGGGTGATCAAAGATCGCAGTGCACATTGAAGCCCGGCGAGACTAGGTCACGCCGCTCCGTAGCCTCACGCAAGAGACTCCTCGCGGAGTTAGAGGCGAAAGAGCGGTTAGCCGAACTCAAGCTCGAGCAGGCTCAGTTGCAAGCAAGAACAGAATTGCAAGAAATACACGTGCAGCGACTACAAGCAGAAGCCGGATCAACCGATGAAGATGAAGAAATAGAAGACGATTTGGCATCAGTGCGCATTAGTACATGGTTGCAAGAAAAACCTACATCGCAACCCGCGCCTCAGCCCGCGCCACAACCCGCGCCGCAGCCTGCGCCGCAACCCACGTCGTACTTCACGCCGCAACCAGCACTGCAGATCGCACCACCCGTACTTCAACAGTGTGCGCCGCAATACGCTCCGCAACATACCACGCCGCAGAAAGAAGACTATGGACAGGCGCAGCAGCAAATCGACGTCGCTACCTTAGCCGCTGCTCTATCACAAGCAGTACGAAGCACAAGGGAGCCGCCGAAATATATACAAGAGCTGCCCTCATTCAATGGTAGCAGCAAGGAGTGGCTCAGCTTCAAGACAATGTACGAAGAATCTTCAAAGTACTTCACGGCGAACGAAAACATAGCGAGAATACGCCGAAGCTTAAAAGGGACAGCAAAAGAAGCCGCAGGTTGCCTACTTATAAGCCAACCAGATCCCAGAATTATAATAGAAGCTTTGGAAAGGAGATTCGGACGACCAGAAGCGTTAATTCACTTGGAAATAGAGAAGCTGAAGCTGCTGAACAAAGTTACGGACAATCCCAGGGAGCTATGCATATTCGCAAATCGCATAGCGAACGTAGTGGGCACCGTGGAAGCACTCAAGAAAGCACACTATCTGCATAGTCCAGAAATGACGCGAGTTATCACAGACAAACTCACGCCCATATTGAAAAGCAAATGGTACGACTATGCAGCCAGAAAGAAAGAAGATATCCCAGAGCTTAAGAAGATATCAATGTTCTTAAACGAAGAAGCGGATAAATGCAGCGCGTATGCCTTGCCGGAGTTCATCGCAGAGGACAGCGAAACGAGAGAGCGAAGACCAAGAAAAATAGAACGTGCCTTCGCCACAAGCAAGAAACCATATGAAGAACGCTGCCCTCAATGCAAACAAGAACACAAACTGCCCGATTGCAAGTCATACGCCGCTCTGTCCACAAATGACAGATGGGAAGTAGCAAAGAAGTACAATATCTGCTACCGCTGTCTGCGAGGCAAACATCGTCGATTACTGTGCAAAGCTCCACCGTGCGGAAAAGGCGGATGCATGATGAAACACCATAAATTGTTGCATCACGACAGAACAGCAGTAATGGAAAAAGAACCCGCTATGGAAACCGCAACATCGGCAAAGGAGGTCAACACAGCGACTCGACCGTACAAGCACCACCGCGCTTACCTAAAGATTGCGCCCGTAACAATAAGGGGGCCGCTAAGCTGCGTCGAAACATACGCATTATTGGATGAAGGAAGCACGGTCACCTTAGTCGATGCCTCAATCGCCGACGTCATCGGCGCCGACGGCCCAGCCCACACAATGTGGATACAAGGGGTCGGCTCAGAGGTGAAACACGAGAAGAGCAAGATCGTCAGCTTTAAAATAAGAGGAACGTACGCGCAAGAAGAACACAACATAGAAGCAGCGCGTACTGTAGAGCGGTTGGACTTCGCGCCAGAATCCGTGAATGAAGATCACTTGGGGAATTGCCCACATCTGTTGGATATCAAAGAGGATATCACCTACGAACGCGCCTCACCGA